TCAACTGAAGTTAATTTTCTCTTTACATAATAGCACATGGTGGGAGAAGAAGTCTGCAGGGTGGTCCTTCTCCCTACTGTCATTTTGAGGACCTTAGGGTTGTCTCCAGTGCAGCCAGGGGGAAGGAGAAAAGAGAATGAGGATTGCATGCAGGAGGTTTTATGGTCCAGACTTTGAAGTGTTGCATAATCTCTACCCTCTCCTGTTGGCTAAATCCCAGTGTCATGGTCATGCCTATCTGCAGGGAAGCTGGGAAATATGGTCTAGCTGTTTGTCCAGGAAGGAACAAGGAAATGGATTTTGATGTGCAGCCACCAATCTCTGCCACAGCCAACTAAATTTAAAACTATAGATTTCAATTCCATTTTATCCTTCATATCAGATCAAATCCTGGACCAAATCTTGCTGTATTATCAAAATGCCTCTTATTGAATCTTCCTTCTACTCCTTATATTACCACATGGTCCAGACCCTCATCACTTCAAGTCTGGATTACTGCAGTAGCTTCCTAGGGGATCTTCACAACTTCAGCCTCTTCTGCTCCAACCAACCCTACAAATCCTCTTCACGCTCATTTTTCTTGTGTATGGCTTTCACTGGTTTGTGTCACAGACCAAGACCTTCAACAGCTTTCTTCTAACAAATCAAGTCTAATCTCTCCTGCTTAGCTTTTAACAATAGATATAATTTAGAACCTTCTCTTCTTACTTCACCCAACCTTGACCTCCTACTTCTGTAAGTTTCTGCAATGTGTGTCTGTATCACTCAATGTCTGAACTGTTTTGTCTTGTGTTGTTTAACATTATTTTATGTGCTTTAGGGCTATCTTTCCCACTATTTTGTGAGCTCCTTGAGTAAAAAGATGATATCCGATGTCCTTTTGTTTTGTTCTCCATATTATCTAGTACATTGCTCAGTGCATACAAGGTTGATATCTAATAAATACTTGTTGCTGAATAGGATAGCTCTTAGAAGAAAATAGTCGTTACACTGATTTTATAAATTTTTATTCTCTAAATGTGTCAGCTATATTGGCAAATCTTTGTTACAAACTGCCATTTATTTATGGAAATCTATGCTTAATTATAATTGGTGTCAAAGTATCTCAACATAACCAGATACAAAATAGAGACATTTAAAAGCCTGGGGAAGTTCATTTCAATTAGGGTTTTTTTTTTTTTCATTAATTCAACCAACAATTTAAATTCTGATCTATGTTCTGAAGAGGCTCATGGATGGGAGAAGGGAAGTGAGGATACATACGTATTGTGGTAGGCAGAATTCTAAAATGGCCCGAAGATTCCTTCCCCCATACACATGCTCTGTAGAATCCTCTGCCTATGAGTGTGAGTGGGACTCATAAATATGATGGGGTCTCACTCCCATAATTATGTTATGTTATTAATATATAATAAAAGGAATTGTACAGGCCGGGCGTGGTGGCTCATGCCTGTAATCCTAGCACTCTGGGAGGCCGAGGCGGGAGGATTGCTCAAGGTCAGGAGTTCGAAACCAGCTTGAGCAAGAGGGAGACGCTGTCTCTACTATAAATAGAAAGAAATTAATTGGCCAACTAAAAAAAAAATATAGAAAAAATTAGCCGGGCATAGTGGCACATGCCTGTAGTCCCAGGTACTCAGGAGGCTGAGGCAAGGGGATCGCTTGAGCCCAGGAGTTTGAGGTTGCTGTGAGCTAGGCTGATGCCATGGTACTGTAGCCCGGGCAACAGAGTGAGACTCTGTCTCAAAAAAAAAAAAAAAAAAAGCAATTGTACAGATGTAATTAAAGTCTCCAATCAGTTGCCTTTGATGTAATCAAATGGGAGATTACCTTTGGTGGGTCTGACCTAGTCAGGTGAGACCTTAAAATAGAGAACAAAGCTTTCCTGTGGGCCTGGAAAAACGCAAAAGCCACATTGTGAACCGGAGGGAGCCACATGGTTAGGGCCTGAGTGTCCCAGCGATAGCCAACAGGAAGGCAGGGATCTCAGTTCTGTAATTGTAAGTGATTGAATCCTGCTAACAACCTGAGTGGCAGAGGATCCTGAGCTCTGGACGAGAATGTGGCCCTGCTGACACCTTGATCTTGGCCTTGTGAAACACTGAGCTGAGAGCTCAGTTCCTCCGTGCCCACATCTGTAAGATGATAGATTGTCTGTTGTTTTAATTCACTAAATTTGTGGTAGTTTGTTACATAGCAATTGGAAATTAATACATATGTTTCTTACAATATGTTATTTAATTGCTATGATATATTGTTATATATGAGTTTAATCATGTTGAGTTTCTATAAATTTTAAGACTTGGATCAATTCCAACAAAAATATTTTTTGGACTTGAATGCACCGATGTCATTTACTTCCATTTTCCTGACCTGAGTCAGTTAACATCTAACCTACCTCAAGGAAGCATAGGTGGTTGGCATTGCCTAGTCTATTTTCAACGACTTCCACTAAAGATGATTTCACCCAATTATCAGTGTTTTATTAGGGGAGTCACCCCATCTTTACTCTTCTCTATTCCAGCATGCATATTGTGCTGACCTAGCATTATTTTCTGGATAGTCCACCGGGTTAAATATTCCAAGGATCTTTGGAGGAGAGCCAAGTAGTCTTTTTGCTCTTTAAAAAGAAAGTATTTTAAAGGAACTTGCTGCTTAGCCAAGCCATTGCTCTATTGCAGAGCAAGCATGTTTCCAAAGTACATCAACAAAGCTAATGAGAAAACTAGCCCTGGAGTGGAAAAAGAGAAAATGAAGAAGTCGTCTCATCATTGGAAGCATCCTGGTGAGGTAGAAAAAGCCCTGGAGTGTGAGTCAAGAGATGTGGCCTCTGTTAGCCGACAGGCCTTGTAGAGCTAATTCTCAGTTTTCTTATCAATAAAGCGGGACCATGAACTTGATAATCTCTGAGTTCCCTTCCAACTTTGAAACCAATGAATGAGTCACCCATGCAATGATAAAATGGAGAGGAGAAATGAGGGATCCTAGCAGAAAATGTAGAATGTTTAAGTCTGCATGAGGATATTAGCGAATGAGTATATACTCTGAGGATCAGGTCCCATGTGAACAGATACTAAGTTGCCTTCTGCACGTGTGCAGCTCTGTGGCTTCCTGGTGTTCAAATTCCTTAATCTGAAATACGACATCCCTCCTGCTCCTTTTCCCTGGCTTTTTCTATTCTTCCAATCACCATTTCCTTGCATATTCTCTACCCCCCTCCAAGTTGAATTCTTCACTCTCTTAAAAATATATCCTATATTTTCCCACCTGTTCTTGGCTTTCGTAGTACTCATAACTGGATTGTTGTGTCTTCCATTTTCACCTGACAAATCCTGGTTGTCCCTGAAGGTCTAATTCAAAAAGTACCTTCTCCATGTAGTTTTCCCTGCTGCCTTTTGTCTCTACTTATATGGGGCTGACCTTTTCTTCTTTGGAACTTTCCTTACTATCTACCCTTCTTTGGGTATAAATCGTCTTCTGCCTTCTATGTTATTTGTGCGTTTCTCATTCCTCATACTGCAAAAATAGAGATATTATAAGGAATTGAACTGAGTGGTTCTTGCACCCAGGCTATAACCTGAAGGGTTCCTTGTGTTAGCTTTCTTGCCTAATATTGTCTTGTCTTCTTATCATTCTTTTTCCCTGTTACTAGAGTGCAGCAAAGGTAAAAAAAAGGAAGTTCCTGATAACATATATAAGCTCTCAGGGGGCCTTTCTGAAGAATACTCATGGTTATACAATTCAGGGGAGCAGATGGTATGAAATTAGCTATGCACCTTCACAGGAGTCTTCCATAAGCCTGATGGTTGGCCAAAGTAACAATGGCTCAGAGAGACCAGTTGATTTGGTGAAAGTCACACCTCCAGTTAGAGACTCCAGTGTAGTCGGTTCGGTTCCCCCTCCTCTCCAATATGCTACACCGCTTCAGGGCCCATCCCTGAAATTGCTCAAGGCTGCTATGATCCCTGAGGCAAAAGTATCCTCTGAATGAAGGAAACACTGATTTGATTTGTGTCTTTACAAGTTTTACTCCCAGATGGTGCCTCCAGACTTACAGAATCTCAATAATGTTTTATTTCCTTTCGGGCCGTGGCTGATTTGCAGTGCTTTTCCATTTATAATTTCCAAGCTGAATACCTTTATAACTTTCTTCTTTCCCTTTTCTTTCAACTTGGAGCTGGAATTAGACTTAAGAATTTAGAGAAAAATAGTTGGAAGCAATTAAGGGGAGTTTGCAAAGATTTGCAAACAGAATGTCTGATGAAGGAAAAACCTGAAAAAAAGCAGAAATTTAGAAGGGTTGGAAGAAAGGTGGAGAATATGGTCGATACTAATGAGTATTACATAAGCCAGGGCTGTACTAAATACTTGCTCATGATGCATAATTTCATCATCATTGAAGCCTAGAAAAATTAGATAATATGTTCAAGATACCATAATTAACAAATTATGGAAATGGGCTTTGGATTAAATACTGTTTGACTTCAGAATTGATGCTTTTTTTTTTTTTTTTTTTTTTTAAACCATGGGGGATGCTGGATCCACAAAGGCTGAATGTGGATAGGGGAAGGGGCTGGTTTGAAGACATAGATCTTCCTGTTCTTGAGGTTAAAACGGAATACCTGAGCTGGCACCTTGAGGCACCCTCTAATTTTCAGCTTGGGTGCCTGCAACCTAGAGAAAGATAACCAGTGAGGCTTTAAGGAATTTAATTCAGATGATATGCATCTCTGTTTCCATTTTCTTTGGTTGTCACGAGTCTCTGTAGTTGTCTTGGTTGAGAGGTGCTGTTTCAAGTGCTCTCCTCTTCCCCTCCCACCGACCTCCCCACCAAGGATGACTTCCGAAAACCCACAGTGCCACATCCACCCAGTGGGTCCTGGAGGTCAGAGTTCTCAGGCTAAGCGGTGATAGAGAGATGTCTCTGCAGAAAATAAGGACTGGAGTCAACCCTGGGCCCCAGTTACTTGGGTGACCACCTCAGGGTTCTGATGTCCTCACAATGTACACATCACGACTCATCCTAGCATCTCTTGGCTGCCTGAAGTTTAAACTGTGTTCTGTTGACTTGCTGGGGTCAGGAGAATAAGAGTTAAAGAAAGGGAAAGGTATTTTTCAATCATCGTTTATTTATTCACTCAACATTTCTGCTATACTGTGGGGGAAATATAGATGAAGAATATGCACAGTCTCTGCTTTTGAATGTAGAGTACTGGGGACACTAACCTGAGATTTGAGAATAATACGGTAGATTTCAGGCAGTGGAATGAATCTGGCTAAGTGTCTGAATGCAGTGCATAAAATAGGTTTAAGGAGTATCAGGAAGGAAAGAGGGCAGAGCAGGCTGAATGAGAGGCAAAGTGAGGTGGTTGAAGGTGCACAGGGCCTCGAAGGTTTCATCTCCCCTCCCGGAACATAGGAACTTGGACACCAGACCAAGGCTTTTGGGTTAGGTGTCCCTGGTGCCTCAGTGAAATTTGCCTGAGGGCTGACTTCAATGAGTGGAACAGAGGTGAATGATTGAGTGGTGGTGTCCAGGGAAGGCAGACAGTCTACCCAGTGACTGGAGCAGGCTGCCCGGGAGGGGTCTCCATGCTGATTGGGCCAGTGGTCAGTGGTCCTTCTCAGAGGTTGGGTGTGAGGCAGGTTCTGGAGCCAGAATTACTGGCTTTCAGTCCTACCTTCCTGGTCTGTGCTTCAAGAAACCTTGAGACACTTACTTGACCTTCTTGATTTGCCATTTCCTCATGTTTAAAATGTCAGTGATTATTATGGTAGTCATCTAAGGAGTGGATCGTGCGATTCATTGAGTTAACACAGGTAAAGCGCTACAAATAGTTCCTGGTGCATAATAAATGATCAAAAGTGCTAGTTATTATTAGTTATTACTCATTGAGGCCATCTCTCCAAATTTAGTGTGGTCCGGTAGTTATATTTTGAGAATGATTTTCGAGTTTGATCTTGATCAATCTCTGTGTCACTAGGCAGTGCCATGCCTTCGCCCATTCCAGACGGAGCTGAAGAGAAAAGAGATGAAATAAAGCAAAAGAAACAAGAGGGACTAAAACAAGCTTCTACGGCCCTCTCTAAGAATTTCACTGGAGGTCTAATTTTAAAGAAGGATGCGTGAAGATTGAGGAAAGGGGAATGAACACTTTCAACCATCTTGTCATGAGAAATTTGTCAGCGCTGGAAACACACTATTTTGGTGCTGTTTCCAGTTTTCCCTGCTTTTCCTCACGAAGAATAATAATTCTGTTCTGTCCTCTCCCTCCCAGACTCCAAATACTCTTTCTTCTTTTCCATGAAAGCAAAACTCCTAGGCTACATCCCGCGCAACTCCAGCAATGTGAGTGAGCTTTTGTTCTCAGTATTGGCAGCATTTCTCCCTTCGTTTGTCCCCTCTGCCTGTCTGCAGGTCTCAGGGCTGTTCTGCTGTCGGAGATTGCAGGGAGCTGGTGGATTCAAGCCATGGAGCTTCTTTTATGAGCCAAGTGCAGAGAAAGGAACCTTTCATACAGCTCCAGCCTGCAGTCAGGTACTCCCTGGTGGGCTCCTCACAAAGCCTGGGCCCTAGAGCTCTTCCCTGGAGTTTGCATTTGTTTCCTTATAAGGCATGTTCTTGGCGATGGGCAGGAGGCAATGGCAGCCCAAGTGCACGGCTCCCTCTGCAGCCACTGTGGGCCGGTTCCCTGCACAGCCCACAGAAGCCACCAGTTTGACCTGGTCCTCCCTTAAAGCCAGCCTGAGTTCTTTATTAGCGAGCATGAAAAATGCTTCAATCACAGCACCAGATGGTACCCAAACCAATTTGGTTTGTCAGCTGAGGCCTACTCATTTCCAAGGACTTGGTCTAACATCAGCGTTATTTCCCTCAGTGCCCATCGAGCCCTAAGAGATGATCTTGCTCAGATGATTCTGATGAGAAATAATATTTTACTCTACACAGGACCGCAATCATTACTTCTTTCCATCTTTAATAATTCATTTAATAAGCTTTTATTGAGTGCCTGCTGTGTGCACTAGGCATTTTGGGGTATAACAGAAAGAAATTCATTTCTGTTCAACAAATATTTGCTGAGAATCTACTATGTACGTGCCAACCACTGTACCAGATAATAGACAAATAAAATCACTTAGAAGAGGTCCTTGGCTTTAAACAAGGATAGTTGTGGAGAGATGAACAGTCTAGTTGTACAGTGAGTACTGGGGGAGAAAGATGACCCAACGCATTATCTTATCCTCTTTCATTTTTGCTACTTAAATCATAAAATTTCATTTGGTACTCTGTTCTCTCCATCTCCCTAAAAGAGGAGTTGGAAGTAACATTAATATACTACCTATGTGGGTCACTAGCACAGAAATAGATCACGGATGTAGCAGAGAGTCAATGATTTGGTTCTCTGCTACCTTGCTACTCAAAGAGTGGTCCATGAACCAGCAACGATGGCATCTCCCATGAGCTTGTTAGAAATTCAGGTACCACTCTAGACCTCATAGATTAGAATCTGCAATTTTAATAAGATCCAGAGGTGACTTACATGCCAATTAAAGTTTGAGAAGTACTGCTCTGCTAGTTATTTATTCCCCAGGTAGTCTAACAATGATGGTGGGTGCAGTAAAAGATGACCGCATTTTTTCCCAATGAATATTTATTGACCACCAACAAATCAGTACCTGCTAGTTACATAATCACTTTATTAAAAGAAAGAGATGTGGAAAGTTCCTTACACATGGGTCGCTGAGTTTTGGACTGTCACCTAGACTTGAGGGCCATGGTTGATGGGTTGGAAATCTGGGTCTAAGCCAAAAACAGCCATTGACGGGCCAAGTGACTTTCATGGTATCCTGGTAAGAAAACTCTCTGAAGCAGTGTTGCTTTATATTGCATAACTAACCAGTCAACCAGTCAGAGGCATTTTCGTAGGAAATTCAGAAACTCAATAGAATTGATGTTCTCCATAGTTGGAATTAGAGAGACATATTTTAAAAAGCAAGCATAAGCCATCAGGTTGAAAGCAGATAGAGAATAAGAGAAAAAAGTACAGGGCAATACCACTGTTTTTAAGGGTTCACTTAGAAAAGTATTGGGAACTTCACATGCAAGGGCTGTAAGGAAAGTCTCCAGCCATTGTTAATATAACAAGAACGATTTGCACGACAACCGTGTAACCTGGCAGCCAAGGAGAGTGGACTGTAATGTGCATGTGTGAGCAATGACGCCCTCACTGGGGTGCTAGACTCCACTGAGTGAGCATGTGTACTATGTGGCCGTCACATTTAAAATGACCGAGCGAGCGGGGCAACAAATCTGCATCAAAGTTTTCGTGAACCTTGAATATTCCTCCACGGAAACTATTCGGGTAATTCAGAAGGTTTTCGGGGACGATGTAATGAGTGCAGCACAAATAAGCACAAAACTTCAAAGATGTCTGAGAATCTGTTGAAAGCTATCCACGTTCTGGAAGGCCTGCGACAAGCAGACCACCTGTGAATGTTGAACGTGTATGGGTTAGGGTAAGAGACGCTGGGAGAACTGTGTGAGGTCCCAAGGTGCCTACTTAAAAAAAAAAATTATTTCAGCATATTACGGAGGGTACAAATGTTTAGGTTACATATATTGTCTTTCCCCACCCGAGTCAGAGCTTCAAGCGTGTCCATCCCCCAGACAGTGTGCACTGTACCCATTAGGTGTGAATATACCCATCCCCTTCTCCCCCTCCCATCCGCCTGACACCCAGTGAATGTTACTACTATATGTGCACGTAAGTGTTGATCAGTTAATGCCAATTTGATGGTGAGTACACGTGGTGCTTGTTTTTCCATTTTTGTGAGACTTCGCTTCGAAGAATGGGCTCCAGCTCTATCCAGGATAATATAAGAGGTGCTAGATCACCACTGTTTTTTTTGTGGATGAGTAGAACTCCATGGTATACATATACCCATTTTGTTAATCCACTCATGTATTGATGGGCACCTGGGTTGTTTCCACATCTTTGCAAATGTGAATTGTGCTACCATGATGAGATATCACTTAACTCTAGTGAGAATGGCTTTTATCAAAAAGTTCCAAAACAATAAATGTTGGTGTGGATGCAGAGAGATAGGAACACTCCTACACTGCTGGTAGGACTACAAACTAGTACAGCCTCTGTGGAAAGCAATATGGAGATACCACAAAGAGCTAAAAGTAGAACTACCATTTGATCCAAGGTGCCTACTTTGAAGGGGAATGAAGGCATCATTGTCCTACGTACAGTGTCTCTTGTATCTTCTTCAATAAATGTCTTTATTTTTCCTATTACATGGCTGGATACTTTCCAGACAGCCCTCATATATGATCTTTAATTTTTACTGCATCACTGAAGGGGAAATGTTCCTATGTTTTGTTGGGCAACTTGGGCTTAGAAAAGAGGGGTAATTTACCTGTGATCACTCAACTCTAGAATAGTAAAGTGAGAATTTGAACCCAGTTCTAACAGGTTTCAAAGCCCAGATGTGCCAGTCTTTTCATATTGTCTTCCTTCAGTGCATTGCCTGTGTTTTTGTTCCAATATTTTCCTGGAGTATTCTGAGGCCACTCAGGTTCAAGGGCAAAGTCATGGGCACAATGAACTCTTCAGAGACACATGAAGGAAGAGGCTTAGGGTCCTCAGGAGCGTGAGGGTACCATGGGAGCTATGAGATGACTCCTGGCTTTCTTCAATGAGTTTATAATCTTTTTGGTGGAAAGAAGTCTGAAATATTTTTAAAAATTGGTTTTATAAGTTAGTGTTTATGAGGATTCAGAAACTTAATGCAGGTGGTAGGATTGTAGCAAGGCTTTACAAAGCCTTTAGAAAGGCTTAAAATAGGGGAGGAAGAAGTGGGGCCCTTTAGGCTGGGACTTCAGTGTGAGCAAAGGCAGGAATGAACCTGTGGAGGTACAAGAAGGAAAAGTGAATCATCTACTCTCATATCTCCGAAGAACATCTATTATACTTCAGGTTCGGTGAATGCACGCTGTGTGCAAATATCTGCAAGGAATCTGCAGATCTAGTAAGTGACTGGAGGGAGATTGTTAAGGATCAGAGTGAGACTTGAGGAGAATGAAAGAAAAACAATGAATCAATGGGTGTGGCCTGGCAGAAGGTGTATGTGAGTCAGGGGAAGTGTGGCCAAAATGTGTCTACAGATTCAGAAGAGTGAGTGGGCTAGGAAGGAGGTGGATACAATTCACCTCTCCTTCTCACCACTGCTAGGATGCAAAGGTTTCTAGAAGTTAGTCATTTCGTAGGTTTGTTCTTAAAGAAGGTAGGGTTCTACCACTTGAGATGTCTCAGAGTCTGTAATTATATGTGCCAGAGACTATTCGTGTTCAACAAATGTCCATATGTTCCCTATATTTTTTAGTTTCTCTAGAATCTAGGAGGTGCTTGGTTTTGTCCAGTGGGATACAGGCAGAAGGGATGCAACTCTTCTGCAATTACTTCCGGGCCTGGCCCTTACCAGCAGCCCACGTATCCTTCAACTCTCTCTTGCCCTTCTTTAATGATCTGGAGGCCACATGTTCCAGATAGTGTAGCTACAAAACTCGGGAGAGCTGCCTCATGGGCACTGGACTTGAGATACTCACGCCGAGCTGCTGAAAGTCTGGGGTTTGTTGGTTATCACAGCAAAATCCATCCAGCACAGTCCATACGCCTATCACATAGCGAGTGGTCATGAACATTTGCTGAGTGAATAAATGAATCATTATATCAGTTACTGAGGCCACGTTGGTATGATTCTTTTCATCTGTGTTTTCTATTCTTTGAGAGCGCAGTGCTTTTTGGACCCTTTCCCTTTCAATGTTGCCTTGATGTCATTTTTTTTCCTGGAGTTATCTGAATGTTTGAGACAAGCTTGGGAAAAGGGTGGAAGGTGCTAGAGTGATTTTTCCCTGCCCTTCCCCCTGCTAGGGATCCTTCCAGTGGGCACTTCTTCCCTGGGGAAAACCCTGCTAAAGAAATCAAGCTGGGCAACCAAAAAGTCACAGCAGAGGGCTGCTCTTGCTCATTCGAAGACTCTGCAAACTAGAGAAGGCTTTTCAGAAGAATATCACGGATCCCTGCAGTCCCACACTGCAGGGTGGGACTGTTTTTGTGGCCTAACATACCCACCCAATTATGTCAAAACCTCTAAATTTGAAAGAGATCAACTCTGTGTTGTACTAAACACTCCTGATGTCCTTGAGGCTGTGATTTATACAGAAAAGGGTGCAAAGTCACACAGAATGATGTTGATTCAGGGC